CCCCAAAACCCCAAAACCCCAAAACCCCAAAACCCCGAGATTTAGATGATTTATAGAAATTTGTGGATATAAAAATATGTTTTTGTGAAGAGCTTTTTCTACGAAGAAAGGAACAGTTCTTAATTGAATTAGGCACTCGAATAGGAAGATTTCCAAGACAGGAATGACTAGAAATTTTAATTTTAGCATGCACCAAAGCAGAAAAATCGCGTTTTCAATGAGTTTGAGAAGATTTTCAGTGTTTAATAAACAGAAAATAAGTATTGATTGATGAAGTTAAAATGTAGGTATTGAGGATCAGTTGAGATCAACACAAAATAAAGAGCAATTATTATCCTGGATGGATAGAAATAACGAAGAAGTACCCATCGATATACGCTGAGAAGCCTTAGAAAAATATGTAGGCTTTTACTCTCCTAATGATAAAATTCCTCAAGAAGTTCATGATTTTATCAAAGTGGAGCCAAAAATCCCTCTTCACTTATACAGTCTCATTGACTCCTTCACAAAGCTCAACATTGTTGGTATGACGCTTATAATCTCTCTATAGAAAATCCCAAGACCAATAAAGCAGTGTGGACATTAGTAGAATATTTTATTTGAAGAACTAAATTTTGAGAAAGCATTGATGCCATTCCCATGCTTGCCATCATCTTTAAAGGCTTCAGCTCTGTCGCCACCCTCGAATCAATCAGCATTGAGGAGGTCTACGAATCACTAGAACCTACCCTAATCAGCTTGATAAAGTCTGAGTTTTCTTCAGAAAACTCAGCTATCAGCTCCACTAGGGTAGTTATGGCCCTATCGGAGATTCTGAGCTGCTTTATCATTAACCTTGAAGGTAGTAGTGAAGTGCACTATCACCTCATGAAGGTATTGTATGACCACATTACAGAGTTGGGCCTAGCCCAACTCTGTAATGTGTTGCATGCCTTAGCTTACAAAAAGATCTACTTCAAAGATACCAGGACAAGGGAAGAACAAGAGATAGAGACCAGATTGGTCAATGAAACCAATGTTCAGCTTGTGAAGCACTTTATCAAGGAGACTTCTTTTGTTGATCAAGAATTGGCCAGCAAGAATTTAAAGAAGAATATTGATCGATTATTAACACATCCCTCGACCCAGCGAGATGGGTCTTCTCAGTCTCTTAGAACTGTCCTTGATGTGTACCAGAAGCACAGACTTGAATGGGCCCTCAATGTGCTTTTTGAGTAAAGGAATATTTTCAATAAGTTGGATTAAAATTGGGGTTTTGGGGTTTTGGGGTTTTGGGGTTTTGGGG